AAACCTTAACAAGGAATCTATCCTATCCTTGTTGCATTGTCGTTAAACAGACTCATCGCTCGCACTGCTACAGCCTTATTCAGGTGGTGCTTTTCTACAAAATTTTGCTCTTCTTGCAAGACATTTGCTTGTATATCAAAGCAAAATTTTTCAGAAAGGTTTGCTTGTCTTGCAAAACGCTCTCAAACCAAGTTACTTGTAAACCAAGGTATTACTGTATATATTAAAAACACAGATACCTAGTTTATACAGTAGGTTTTGAGATTGTTACAGTATTCAGCATATTACATTTATCATTCCCAATATTTTTTACTGCATTTATCTGCTTCTTTAGCAAGTAGAGAATACTTACACAAAGCTTCACTTCAATGGTCAGTATATTTGTATATGATATATCAAAACTAAAATAGTCCTAATGCCTACAGAAGGCATATGCCCCCAGTTTTTCCAAACATAAGACAAACTTTGAGGCAGTAATGGGTAGTCAGTCCAAAATCATTCCTGCCCAAGATTCCTGGTGGCCACATGCTAGGTCTATCAGAAAGTTTCACATGATTACCTCTAGGGAACCTGCCTTGTCTAGGCATAAAGGGATGTTGCTTAATCAAATATACAGACCATATCAGTGAATCTTCCAGCAGGGATACTTTATAAAGGTCTTGAAGAAGTGGATACAATCCAAGAAAAGCATCGACCTTCTAAGAATATAATAAATGTAATATGCTGAATACTGCAATGGTCTTACAAACTAATACCCTGGCATGAATCAGGTGACTGAGACCCAGGTTTGTTTTGAAGTCATGTGACTTTAGGCACATCATTCCATGTCAAGCAGACCTCTAAAGTTGAATGCACATTAAATAGTATTGTAGCCATGATGCAGTGCATTCACTATTCAGTTAACTTAATGAGTGATGAGCACAAAAATTATACTTTAAATTAAGTGGAATTGGCACTGTACGACTTCTAAACATTCAGGAATTCAAGACTATTTGGTGCTCTACAAGCTTATCTAAATTTAGTGCATTAATGTGTACACAGCATGAGTTCTCCAAGTGACCATATGCTGTTTCAAGAACACCAGGCACGATTGGCCTACACAAGAATCTGAATATTCAGCCTTAAATTATGCTAACTGTGCAGGCTTACCTAAAAAGATTTAAATTTGTCTCCATTTTTAGCTCTGCTTACTTAGGGTCACTTTCGTCAAAACATCCACATGCAGTGTTTTCATAACTTCAGGTCAAGTAGAACTCCAGCATTAAAATTAATGTGTATATGTGTATCTACATATACACACATATATATACTCTATACCGTATTCACATTTGTCCAGCCTGGCACATTATAAGTATTGATATAAATGATCCCTCTCAGGGCCATGGGGATCCTGTAATACACTGTAGTAGTCACAGCTGCTACAGTGTATTACAGTGTCTCTCGGGTCTCTGCTACACGTGCTGTGCTTAGTGACTTCCCTGTGCTGTTAAAACACAGAGAGTCAACCACTGAGTATAGCAGCCGTTCAGAGCATGCCTAGTATTTTCCCCAGTAAATACTAGGCATTCTCTGACTGGACGGAGGGGGCTATGCCTTGACATCACTGCACCCTGTCCAATCAGAGAACGCTTAGTATATATTGTATATTATAATTGTGTCTATAATTTTCAAATCCCATTGGAAATAGCTGTCCCTTTTATGAAAATTATAGCCTTACCCTGGTGTGTTAGCTTTGGGAATTGAGCCGTTTGTAAATTTAAGAAACCACTTATGCTGACAATGAAATAGTTAATGGGAAACTTCAGCTATGAGCAAAACATATAGTTCACTTTAGAAAACAAAATAAACAGAGCATGGTAAAATAATGTTTTCTAAGTGCTTGTATTTGGGTTTACAATTGCCAATTCTTTGCTCCATCAATGATCTTTGCTTCTATCTCTGCATCACTGTGTGACAACTCTGAAACTATATTTCCCAGCAGGTATAGTAACACTTTAATTGTGGCTGTGTCTGTAGGTATTGAATCATGCGACAATACTGGGTCACCCTCAGCCTACTGCAAAGAGTGACATTGAAGACAGAGGCAGGGTCAGATGTGCATGTCACTCCCTTAGAAGACTGACCAAGGTTGTTAGGTAGACATTTTAGTGGAGAAGTCACTACTTTAGCTTGACCTTGTTTTTATAAGTGAACAGCAGTTAATCATCTTTACATTGAAAAAGTCTTTATGATCTTTTCTCAGATAGGACATAAAATAAATACAGTAGCTTTACCATGACAAGAAGAGCCTTGTATATTACAAAGTGTGGGCATTTGAATCAAATATGATCACTTCATATTTAAGCTGGAGTTTAGCTTCAAGACTGCAATATGGTTTATTTTAAATCTCAGATACAGTATTATTTCAAATTATTCCTCTTATTGTGCATGGCCAGTCTGTGATAGGTGATAGCATAATATTAATAGAATAATCAATTCTGACAGTTTATAACCATAACTCTCCCTCTCCACTTGAACCCTACCAACTGCTCTCTAGTATAAGATAACAGATGACCACATCCTGTCATCCAGCTATTTACAGCAATACCTTAGAAAGGTGCAGAAGACAGACTGGCCATCCCTATCTTTCCTACTCAGTTTTTAATACTGGGTGTACTCTTCTTATATTGCCAGCTAACAAAACTGACTGACCTGGATGGAGAGATTTACAAAGATAATTCTGGCTAGCCACATTGATAATTACTTAATTCCAGCTCTCTGCTGTGAATATCGGCTGCCCAGGAATAATTCATTTATAAAGAATCTTCTGATTGCTTATGGAGGAAGCACTAATGATGACAATTTTGCAGCTAAGTAAAGTTCTACATGATTTGAAGAATGCCACATGCTTTTAGAACAGTCTCTATTAGTCAGAGTGACCCTTATAGATGTTAATTCAGGGCAGCCAGGGTTAATTTTAGATATGCAGTATCCAGAATACTGGCATTATTAGGAACCAGGATTATAAGGAACCAGATATGTAGATTATAAGGAACCAGATATGTAGATCATACACATACCGATAAACAATCAGACAAACAAAGATTTGATATTTGCTTGAAAACAGTTGTCTGACATCTTAGAGAAAAGATCCAGTTAGACTGTTACCGCCTTTTGATGAAAGCAATTCTTTAGAGATTGAAACAATAATTTAGTACAAATAATTTGTTATATATATATATATATATATATGTATATATATATATATATACACACATTGTACATTATATCAAATGATTGAATGTTTATGTATATGACCAGCAATCCACATAACAATAAACATCTGTTCATAGATTTCATTGCTTCAACCAATCTCTTGCTTGGAGAATGACTCACTCAGCAAACATAAAGGTCTGGTTTACAGTAAATGAAGTAGGTTCTATTTTCTTGTGTTCATTTTCAATGAAAATAACCATTTATTGATTCAAGAGCACACTTAGTTGTGTATATGGTCATCATAAAATTTACCACTTGGGGCAGCTTGCATTCTCCAATGACAATACAGCTAAAGAACACACAGTAGCGAATAGGCAAATAGGAAGTTAGTTTGTCTTGTCTTTCCTAGAGATTATTGTGGCCAGCTGGATGACAAGCCATGGTCAAGAATTATTATATCAGATAGTGCAGCCCCCATACTGCATACTAATATGCACCGCCACAAAACTATCATCTCTTCAAACCCTATCCACCTTTTAATCTTCTTGCAATTCCCAGCACTATACTCACTGGCTGGCATTATGTGTCAAGTCATTTAAAGTGTAACTCTAAGTGGTAACATCTTGAAATCTGCTACCTAAATATTATCTACAGAGCTCATAAGGGTATGGAAGAGGGGTGTAAATTTAAGGGCATTCATTTGGCAAAATTCAGGTGACATCAGCTCTCCTGAAAAAGTAAGGAAAGCTTAATCAGGGGCTAATGATAATCTTGTATAAGTAACTTTTCACAATTATAAGGCTATAAGTCCAAAACATCAGATTTTTGTACACGCCTTTGATAAATGGTTCTCTTTAAAGTTGTCTTCTAGCTACAAATAAAATAAATACAATTAATAGTTCAGTAGTAGTAAAAGTAGAAAAACTGCTTTTGCTGCAATACCTTCAATCTTACTCTCACACAGTCATTCCTTTCCACTAATGGATATTTTCAGACTTCTGGATTGAATGGCTGCCAGGGTCATTTGACCCATTTCCTCTGAGCCCAGGTGGGCTTTAGGGAAGGGGGTAACATTTTTATTTTAACTAGACTTTAGCTGTGCAGTAATCTTCTTCTGATAACACTCCCCTGTCACAGAGACAGCCTATCCAACCCAGCCACGGATGTAGTGCCTTCTCTGGGTTCCGACACCCCCCTACATACAAGTCAGATAGAAACAATATCATGCTGCACTTCCCCAATCTGTAATGCTACAGCAACTTTAGTGAGGAAAAAAAGTATCACAATAAAGCTTCTGAAGATTGGTGGAGAGGGGACTGATAGGCTTCTACCTAGACTTCAGCTTCTAAGAAATTCAGTCACAGAGCTGCAGTCATAGAGTTACAGTTCTGCATTCACATGCTTATAACCTAAATGCTATACTGCTGCATAAAACTAATACGCATGGTCTGGTTTAGAGAAAATGGGTCTCTTCTGTAAATTGTATGTGTAGCCACCACCACAGAGTTTCAGTGCTAACAGTATAGAGCCCTTTAAATATGTAAACTGAAATATAATGTTGGTACATTTTAAGTGAAAAATCAGTATCATCCTTAATTCAAATCCTGAACCCGGACAATGTTACTATAGGCAAAGATAGAGCCATAATATTAAAAACATCCAAGGTTTTGATTTGTCCAATCTAGGTTTTCGTCCCTGAGCAAGTCCCAAAACTGTATCAGTTCTGTTTTTTTTTGTAAATTAGAGAATATTATCTCTTATCCAGAGAAGTGCACAACTAACCAATAAAATATGTTCACTCTTACCTCAGAATTTACTTTCATAGTTTCCTCATTGTGGTACAGAAGAATTTTCTGTCCTGAAGAGGTCAGATTTACATGGACCTGTAGACAGGGGTACTGTGAGATTTTCCAGCAGTCTGGACCACAGCTAAAAGAGCAGTTGAAAGTTTCTGTTATAGAAGCATTCAATAATGTGCATTGGGTCTCTTCTGTCCACACACTGAAAAAGACATAAAATAGGTCAATGATTTGAAATGTCAAACATTCATAGTGCAACATAGAGGAACAAAGTACAACAATGATGCTTATATATCCAGTATCCAGATATTATTCACACAACAATGGATACAGTAGTTTCCTACAGAGACATTTACAAATACTGTTTGACATTCATGGCCGAATGCAATCTAGTATGCGTTTCAACAGGTTATGTCCCATCTTGTAACAACAGAACATCAGCTTCCGGTGCTGATAAAACTGTTTATCATTGCCATGAAATGCATACAGAAAATGCTAGACTTTTTCTGCATGAAATGGTGGATCAACTATAGGTGCAGGGGGTGCAGATATACCCAGGATTCCACAAGGATCATGAGCTGTGGTAGGCAACTTGAATCACTGTTATGCCCAGATTTACAGCTTGGGAGCCTATAGGCACAGGACATTTGATGCCTTATTTCCCACCCATAAACAGACCACACCCCAAGTCACACCCCTGGTATGCAGCCTAATTTTTTTTTCTATCATTGTTACACACAGGGCTATTCACAAAAGGTGAAGAGTTAGGAGAAGTGATCAATCTAGGACCACATAACCGAACTGGAAGTGAGCTGAATTGGAGAGTTTTTCAAAATCAGCTATTTTGGCCTAGATTGTTGACTTCTCCTGCCTTCTCCAAACTCTTCACCCTTTTGTGAATAGCCCTGACAGTGTACAAAAAAGAAAAAAAGTGACAATCTGAATGGTCTGGAGGTACTGGGGATGGAGCAGCATAGCAACTGGATTAAACCATTTTATCACCTGTATAACCCCGATAAACCTCAAGCAATGTTTACATTTTATCTGTGGGTCTATGGAGTCAGTGATGAGTTTGTCATACGTAAGTATGGGGGGGGGGGACAAACAACTATTTCTCTGGGGAACATTGTCTTTCAAGAATTATTTTATTACCCGCACAAGCAAAACAGTTTTACTATTTTTTGAGTGTAAACATATGAACAATACCACAGGTTTGTATATGAAAAGAAGTGCTGCAACACAGGCTGCGAACTGGGCACTGAGATTTCAGACACTCTTCCCAAAGTAGCATCTATAAGTACGAGCCTGCCCTTGAGAATCCATCCTTAAATTACTGTACATTATGTACATTATTCATGTGCTTTTTAATGCTGCCCAATATAGATTATTACGTGTGGCACAATTATATGATCCACTTGCCTTTGCAATTAGCGTATGAGGGCCTGCTGGAGTGGTAGTACCCACATTGACTATACTACATGAGCTATGTAATTATATAACACTGATATGAAATAGCAGGTTTATTCAATTTGCACAAAAACATATGATGCATCTGTGGGTAGGGCTGTGTCGGGCAACTGAAACAGAGCAATCTGATTCAAACTTTCATTTTCCATTTTCTGGAGACCAACAGTTTTGGCTCATTAATTTGTAACACATTCACATTCAGGTTCAGATGCCATTATATAGCATCAGGATTTTACTTATGTACAAAACTGACATGTAACCTGTGGTCCTCTAGTATAGTCTCCTATAACATTTGCTTAAATTTAGCAGAGTCTGATTGTGGAGTAATGTTGTCCAAAAGGAATGTATAGTGAATTTGTACATATTTTCTTTTTTTTTAATTATATTTAGGTAAAATGAATCAAATACATTTAAATATTGAACTAGCCAGTTACTAGAGCTCTACTCTCCTCTTTAAATGTTCTGCAGTGTTTGGTGACCATCATGTTGTAAAAGTCATGTTGCTTGCAATAGCTCCAGCTGAATGAGTCATCAGATTAGTGACTCATCCCTTGTCACAGTACCATCACATGGCCAACTGGAAAAGAAATAACTGCAAAGCGTTAGCTAATCCATTGTACTCTGGGAATCATGTGTCATAAAAACACATATAAAACATTAAAATATTTTGAAAAATAAAAATTTACCCAAAAGACATTATCATTAAAAAAAAAAAAAAAAATCCAACTGGCACACAATATAGACATCTGTGGCACAACTGTTATCTCAAGGAAATCAAAATAATACAACATGGACAAGAAACCTGTTGTTGAAATCCATTTTTCAAGGGAAGTGCCTGAGGACAAATGGATCAGTGCCTAATCCTTCAGAAATCAGTAAGCTTTTATAAAGACCGTTAAGGTTTTTTTCCTATATCTCTATAGGTTGAACTCGATGGACTTTTTTCAACCTAACTAACTATGTAAGGGCCCATTCACTTCAGATGTGTTGTGGCTGCACTGGCAGCAATTTCCAGCCCAACCTTAATGCATAGACAAGGCAATTTGCCTTGTTTTAAATTGGATCAGTTCACACCACTGCATTGCGGTGGTGTGTGCTATAAAAAAGTACAGCATGCAGTTTAGCGCAGCATGGTACAACACAGTACAACTGCAGTGCATCATGCTGTACCAAAAAACTTAACGAAATGTTACTTATTGCATTTCAATACAGTTCTAACAAAGAAGTAAACAGTGCTGTGCTGCGATCGGCACATCAGTACTGTACCTGTCAGTGCACACCAGTGGCTGTGCGTTCAGCACGGTTTACTGGTGTGAATGGACCCTAAAAGTTTTTGGGCACCTTTACGATCATGAAAGAAAACATATAACAGGAGGCTAAACAATATTTTTTTAGTAATTAGCACACAAATCTAGTAACAGCCATTACTATTTTTATTGCATAAATGCTGATTAAATGGCACATACTTAATCTAATTGCTTGAGTGGTACAGAAAATGAAACCTAATAAAGTGGTCATATTTGTCACCTGAAACTTCAGTTGAAAATGATTAATCAGCTTAGAGGCAATACTAATAAGATTTAAGTGATCCACGATACACGACCTGAATAAAAGAGCTCAAATGAATATCATGCTGGTAGTGAAACAACTTTATAAGACATTTAAGTTTCTTAGTGAAATTAATAAAAAATTAAAAATTAAAGCCTGCTTGCTGTCTGGCATTAGTAATTACTTTAATTTACATGGCTGATTGCTAGATAACTGCTATTAGTCAAGTCCTTTTCAAATTTCAAGGCAAAGGCAAGATTATATATTTGCTAATGAGCAGGGGTTAGTGTCTGAAAATGTATCTAAACCCAAGAGCAAATATATAATATATTGCAGTTTATCAGTCCTTAGTTGTGGTGGCTGCATTTATTTTCTTTTTTTAGGCTTTTCACCACTTTCCCCCTTTTCAGCTGGTAATCTTGACAGTAACACTCATCCTGTTCTGGAAACAGGACTGACAACATTCATTCATGTTTCTGTATCTAGCGAGGATCAGTGTGGTCACTCGAAAGGTGCCCAATTCACCTTGCAATTATCATATGAAAAACAAACGCAATCCCGTTTTCGTACGATAATTGGCAAGTTGTTGGGAAGTGCACAATCGCAATTACTTCAATATACAGCATAGGACATATGAACAAAAAATCCACCTTCATGCCCTCTGATGATGCAAGGATGGTGAAACTTAACTAAACTTCTCCTCATGGCTTCTTGAGTGAGCAAGGTGCGCCACATTCCAGCCGTTGCTTCCTACTACTGCCTGGCTGGAATTCCTCTACATATCAGGTGTAGACACAACACATCTATCAATGGAGGAAAGTTCTAAGTATATGCATTCATATTTGATACTATAGACCAGGGGAAGGCTACCTAGGTGCCCCAGCTGTGGTAAAACTACAAATCTGATCATGCTTCTGTCTCTGGAAAGTATGTCTGTGGCTCTCAGAGTCTTGCAATGCCTCAAGGAACTTGAAGCACCACAACAGCTGGTTGTCAATCCGTGCTATAGACTGTGATATCTACCATGTGGCTGCCCATAGTCAGAAGGTAGACATTCAGCCTCATTTCTATATTCTCTGATTATCTTTGGCTGACCTCCCCTATGCAATTTGTACTATGGGCAGCTTGTGGGGAGATTGGTGTATACATCAGTTACCATATTGTGGCACCTTGTGTATTAAGCAGCCCGTAATTAAATGGGAACTTTCCATGAGAATATATTGGGTAGATTTGTGTTCAAATGCCCTATACTGGAGTCTCTGTGTATACTGAAGTTTATTTCAGTAAACATTTTTTCTAGGACCACACAAAGTTGTCCTACAAGTCATGTGTGAGAATGTTTTATTTTGCTTACAAGCACTATGGATGGACATACAGTCATAGAACAGGCTGTACATACTACAGTCATACAACAGGCTGTACTACTGTGGTCTCTATCTCAGGTTAAGCATTACAATGACACCTGTGGTTTTCATTACTTTTTTAAAACTTCTATACTGGCATTGAATACTTACCTGCAACATTTAAAATGATACCATTTTTTGTATGCATTGATCTGTGGTAACTGAGAAGTCTTGCTGACCCTCACGCTTCTATACAATGCTCATGCTGAAGTAATGTTAATCTTCACTCCATTTCACAGCTAGCAGTAGACACTGTCTGTGGCTGCTATCTGTCAGAATGCCTTCTAAATATGAGACCACTGTGTCTGCAATGACATAGGGGTCTATTCACGAAGCAGCCAAAGGATCTAGCCGTAGCTTCGGCTGATCCTTCGGCTTGTACCAAGCAGAATAGCTGAGCTGCGAGTGAGCTGCCGGAGCTTCGGCTCAGCTGATTCAGATGTTGAATCGGCTGAGTCGAACTCCTTCTGCACTTCGACTCAGTTGAACATGCTGAGCATATTCGGCCACAGCAAGCCGATGTACGTGGTCTCCTGTTCTATTATTAGGATGAGAGCTTAGCAGAGCCGGCTTCCATATCACCGCCGGCTCTGACAAGCTTTCATTGTAATGACAGCTGGTCCCGGCCAATAGAAAACAGTTGGGCGGAGCTAGGTGTCACTGCTAGCTAGGTGTCACTGCTAGCTCAGTTGGGCGGAGCTAGTTGTCACTGCTAGCTCCGCCTAATCATTTTCTGTTCTGCTCGGTCCCACAGAGGGAGCGAGCAGAACAGCCGAGCCGAATG